TATCTATTGTGACGACATTGAATAGGGCGTTGCATTAGCTCATTTTTTGGCGTTGCATTTGATTGAAAATGTAGTAGTGGTATATTGATCGATGCATTAGACTTTATTAAAAAAAATTAAAAAAAATTGGGATTAAGGGTTTAATTTTAAAAACTACTTTAATTTGTAACAATTTTAGGTTGGTGCCCATATTATTATTGATATGACTTTTAAATAGTAGAACAATAAAATATAAACATGTATTTAATTTGGAATTGAAAATTTCTTAAAAAAATTTTGTTGCCATAATAATAATAATAATAATAATAATAATAATAATAATAATAATAATAATAATAATAATAATATATTACAAAATGAAAATTAAAATTGAAGTTAATGAGGTTTGATTTTTTTTTTTTTTTGGGGGAGGGGGTTGGTAAGGATTACCGGGCCGGAACCTCTCATAGGTCCTCCCTGCCCGGGTTAGAGGGCTAGGCACTTTGAAACTTGAAAGCGGAGGGAATGGGTAGGTAAGGGAATCCCCACCCCAAAGTGCATCTTGTGAGAAGCAAACGTTACCACTAGACCATATATTTTCAATTGAAATAAACTTTATTGCACTATTAAGGTTTTGAGAGTCATTTTAGACTTTTAGTCTTTGAAGATATAATTTGAGGTGTGGCAAAAAAATTATAGAAATGTCTCAATTTGCGTGACACCTGTTTAATGCCAAATTAGATCTTGTATTGACACGTGGCGCTGGCCGATGAAAATGCGCATAAAGGCCTTAAAAGCTCAAATCCCGAGAAACCTTGGAAAGCGGCACAACCTTAGACATGTATCATGTCCGTAGAGGACAGCCAATGGTTTTAGGTCATATAAGAAAGATCTTTATAAAACAGAGACAGTATTCTCTTATAGGATTATACTAGTAATTAAATGCTAAAAAAAAATAATAATGAAAATAAATTAATTAGGATCACGCACAGGTTCACAGCAGCTATGGCATGTGAAGGCCTCTAATATCCTCAAAAAGCATCTTTATACTTTATTAAATTTGAAATAAAGAAACCATCATACTTTAAGGGTAAACAATAATAATGTAATTAAGTTAATCTTATACTTATGTTTTTGTCTTACGTATAAATTTGTACCTTGCTTTCATAGAACACAAAGGATCATGCGAAGCACTTAAATCACAAGCTCAAACTTTATGCACAGCAAAAGGAATTTGTCACATCAATAAATTCAGAAATTTTGTACAAATCAAATAATGATATTATAATATTTCATGATCTAGATCCTATTGATATTATTATATCCATATTGTACGTTTGTACTGTTGTTCGTTCAATATCATTAAATAAACTTGCATAGAATTGGCAAACCTCGTATCACTGGTATATAACTTAATCAAGTTACTTATTCACCAAATGTACTTGACCATTGATGATAATTACCTAAGAATAAGGGTGTTTAACTATATTGATGATGCAAATTTAATATTTGTCTCGAGGGCTAATATCATATACTCCATTCATGAATTAAATTAAATTTCAAATGATTTTAAGATAACAGACTTATTATACTTCCGAAAAAAGTACAAACCAAGCCACATTGCTCATTTAACAACATATTCTAACACATGATGAAGTATAATTAGAGGATGCTTAGAAGTGTAACCAATTTAGCTAGTTCGTTGACATTTAATCAACTCATTCATGATGAAGATTATGTTTGTGCTATATACACAACTTTTCCTCATGAATGTTAAATAAGCTAATTTGTTACTTTCAATTTCAAAATTTTCATAGTACTTCTTCAAAGTTATTACACTCTATCTGTATTCCTCAAATATATTGGGCAGGAAAAATTTAAGGAAGCATAATTTTATATCAAGATCAAAACTTTTACACAATGTATCTTGATACACAGCATCAAACTATGCTAATTACTTTTACTGCCCTTTACTTAACACTAATCACCCACTAATCAAGCTTAACACAAAGTTGAGGAAGTAAAAAAGAAGAGGAATACATAAAGCTAGAACCTATGTTTATGAACAATCTTAGATGGATCAGCAAATCGGGCAGAAAATGAGCGGGTCAAGTACTCGGGCTCCTTACACTCTAACCCTTCATCAAAGTTCCTTGCGTATGCTTCAGGGTCATAAGCTGAAATTGCTGAGCCATGATTATGATGATGATTAAAGCTGTAATTAGCGCGTAAAATCCTCAGTTTTTCTCTCTTAATCCTGTTCCATAACACCTTCCATTTGGACCGTTGATCATGATCATGATCATGATTATCATCATCATGTTGATCACATTTTTGGCCTAATCTGATACATTGTTGTTGTTGGTTAAATTTTTCTCTTCTAATAAATGAAATGCTTCTTCCAAATGTGAAGCTTTGGCTCTTCTTGGAGTTCCATTCTTTGATGCCCATTTTTTTTGGAAGTTTTGGTGTGTTTTGTTTAGTTGAGTGGTGTGAGACTGAGGTAAAAGAAGTGTAGTTTATTTATAGAGAATTTTATAGGGATTTGAAAAAGGCTGCTTTGTTTTATAAATATTCTCTTAGCTTTTCTTTTTATCTTGTTTATTTTTCTTTCTTTTGCTAATCAGTAATCACTGGCTCTAATTTTGAGAGCATATGGCTCAAGGCTCAACTTGGCTTTTGCTTTTGGGGTCAAGTTAGTGCCTTTAGTAGAAATTCCATTCATATGACAAAAACGTGCATACTTCCTCTATTTCAAGATGAAAACTTTGTATATTATTTTGTCTTTCGATAATTAGAGATATTAATGAACAAAGTAATTTGTTAGCAATTAAATGTAAAAGTCAAAATACTAAAATTTAAAAGAAACCGATGAAGAATCATGGATACATGGGTGAACTACAAATTTAGTCTCAAAACACATAGAACAATCGAACATTTGCAAAGTTGAATTTGAGAGTACTAATCATTTATTTGAATATAGTACATCTGTTGCCTATATTATATAGGTAATTCTAAATTCTGGTCGATGTAAAGGCATTTCAAGAACAACAACTAGAAGATCTGAATAAAAAGTACGGAGTAGAAGGATATGCAAATAAACCAATAAGGGTGACCAAAGCGCTTCAAGTAGTAGTCATTGACTGCAACTAGGAACCAATAAAGATATATGGGTGCTACATCAAGGTGCTCGTGAAGTATTAATGGAGGGTGACTAAGTAGAAGTGCAAAATTTATACTATACACTAGGAGACACCGAGAATGATGCTCCAAGCTTGCAGCGGTGTGCTCTAAATTACTAGTGTGAAGGGGTGGACCGATGTAGTGCACACTCCCTCTCATGCACATATCCGACATGTGTAATGCACGGGCTAATAGAAAGCAAGTACTACATGTCTACATGTGATGCTTGATGTATCTAATAATTTACCCCTAACAATATTTCATAGAAATATGTTTCATTTTATATATAGTCTGATTTGTATATAAATGAAAACTAACCCATTTAATTGAGGTAGTATAAGTTTTTGAAAAATTTATATAAATCATAGGTCATATTAGTTTTTTGAATTTTATGTTATTGAGTAACTGGATTCACGCTCAAAGAATTTCACAGAATACTTTATGTATCTTTTAATATTATGAAAGTATAAATATAGATGAATCTAATCAGATTTCTCATAACTATATTTTTCTTTAATCATAAATTATTAAAGCTAGTTCAAATAGAGTATAAACTGTATAAGTCAAAATGTTAGTCATCCATCAACACCTACTTCTACATTACATGTGTTGTAGATTTAAGATTTGTATGCCAAACTGTTGTGAATGTATTGGGCTTCGATTGTATATCCAAATGGATAATTTCTTACGGAGAAGTGCGCAGGAGAAGATCAAAAAATAATATTGCTGCGTTGTTGGGCTGATGTGATCTTTCTGGGCCATATTATTTTTGGATTGACATAAAGGTTGGACCATTACATAATTTACATTGTGTGTTTTGTACACGGGTTTGTTAGATGGACGACCAACTGCTATTCGATTGCACATGTTTCTGTTGGGCTGTAATGTGGACGTGTGGTTTTTACCTCATGGGTCAGTAACTCAGTATGGTGTAGGATAGCTTTCTACCTAGTAACTTTGCTATCATATACGGAGTAATATATACACGATTATTCACCAATTGAGGGTGCTTGAGGCTCACTTGGTAAGAATCTTATCTCATATTCCGGAGATGTGGGGCTCGAATCCCCTATATCATTTATCGTTTGTACAAGTATTTTTTATATGACGACCAAAAATTTTGGTCAAGGAATTAGCTATGCTACAATGCTAGTTTGATCTCATAGTTGAGTCTTGTGGTAATAACGATGTGGAAGTAGTTCTATAATAAAATGGTACACATGTGGTACCTAATACCGATTTCATTGCAATCAGCCTGTTTGCCAGCTAGCCAAAGAAATGTTTTTAACTCCGCCTTGAGGCTTGTAAACAAAAGCATGGAGTAGCTAACTAAGCCGACGACTGTGCCTTTAACTACGCTTCTATAGTTTTAATTAACTATACTTACACTTTTGTGAGATTTACATTAGAAAAAATATAGTCATTTAGATTCGTTTCAATAAATATTTCAAATTTATCAATCAATTTTTTTTCCCAAAGTCTCTTCATTCTCATCAGCACGAGTTGGATCTCCACACACGGATGACCATATTAATACTAGGTCAACAATTTTCTTACCCTTAAAATTGCCCACCATTGCCTCGGATACAGCTTCTCTCCGATAATTTACTTGATAGATCACCAATCTTCCGCAAAGATTGTTCAAGCAAGCCAGAGCATCTAGACCGTTGCTTTTTGCCCACTACAAATTTATCTAATGTGCAGAGAGAAGTTAACATCCCAAATCTAGATTTTATAATTATACAAGTTCCTTAGATTGGTTAATTTGTTAAAGCCATTTGGAAATTCCCTAAGAAACTTACATGCCCGAATATCCAAAGCCTGCATATTCTGTAGCATTGTGATGGCCTCAGAAAGAGATAATATGGAACAACCAAGTCTAAGATACCTTAGGTGCACCAGCTTCCCGACGGAGCTGGGAAGACACTCACAATCAGCCTTAAACAAATCCAACGCACGTAAACACCTCAAGCTGGAAAAAATTTCATTGATATTTAGCAATGTAGTATGTGATAAGAGAAGAACAGATCGCATTTGCTTGGTAGCAAGCAAAGAAGATAGAACTTGCCAAGAGGAACCCACAATAAAGCTTGCATGCCTTGTGTTCTCATCTATCTGTAGCTTTGATCCATTTAGGACAGCAGTAAATTCTCCAGCCACATATTGTGCCAAGTCATGCATCAAATCATGCATTTTACAGCTGATTATATCACCACCCTCTCTAACATCCTCTAGTAAAAAAGATCTTCTAACAAGTTCCATAAATATACATCAAGTCAAATCTGCCAATACAAATGTACTCAAGATTACCATCTGTATCCCACCTAGCTACATAGTGGGCAACGGTGTTACAAGCCCGCTTAACATGACATGGCCTGGGTGAATAAAACATCATCACAAATAGCACTGTTATATCTAATATCATCATACACCAAGTATAGAGGTGAGAAACCAACAGCATTGCTATTAATAGCTTTAATCACGTTTGCAAAATCACTTTCGAGCCAAAAATGCAAGTAACCAATATGACGAGCAATGTGGATGCCATATCGAACTGCTAACGCTTCAGCATACTCCGAATTTGCTGCCCTTGTACGCTTTGTAGCACACAGCAAAACTACTCCTGCAGAATCTCTCACAACCACCCCCAGCCCCGCCTTTACACCATCCACAAAATGTGCATCGGTATTCACCTTAACATACCCAGGAGGGGGGCACTTCCATGAAGTGATTGCTGGGTGAGTAGCAGCTAAGATGGGCCTGCTGTAAACCTTTTTCGCATAGCTTTGGTACTCCTCCACCATCTTCACATAGCCTGCTGCCATCATGACAGCATCTGGATTCCCATTCTCAGAAAAAATTAATTTCTGCAAGCCCAGGACGCCTACATTAATGTTGCTGCAGTTCTCAACTCCTCACAACTTAGTTTACTCGCAAGCCACGGCCAGCGAACCGGGAAGGATTGGTTTGGTGCATCAGTTAGAGCATTAGCAAGGGGATGATGTTGCCTGATTTTTAGAGCAGCAGTGCACTCAAAAACTGCATGAAGTATTGTCTTAGAGAGGGATTCTGCTAAAAACGCTCAAAAATATCAAAATTCCCCAACTACACCCTTTTTTAACAAAATTCCCACTATATTGTCCATGTCAGCAATTACTTAACAAGTAACTTTTTTTGTTCACGCACAAACCGCTATGTATTGGTAGTTTAAAAAAAATATATATCAAATAAAGCAAACACTAGTCTTGTAGCAAGAACCAGAGATGCATAACCATGGAGAGATTAAAAGAATAGCTTAAATATCCTCTAGTCTTCTATTTCCCTTTACCTTTGCAATCCCACAGGCCCACAATTACCAACACCAACTCCGAGCAACCATAATTACAATCGTCAAAACTCGCCGAGAAAATCTTTATCTAATTGGAGCTGCACTCTAATTCAACCTCTTACTATCTCCACCTTTAATTTGTCAATTACTTAATTGTTATATTTCTCTAGCTAGCCTAGTATGTGTTTGCCTTATTTATCATCCCAATAGCTTGCTGGGAAGATGAGAGATTATTGGGGATAGTGTTGTGTTGGTGACGAAATGGTTTTCTGGGTTTAGTTAGAAAGAAACCGCTAATTCAATTTACGGTTTACCAATGTTAACTTAACTGAGTTAATTAACTGTTTTGTGCTAACTATTAACCAATGAAAAAAAATTGATTTCCTTGCCATTTTCATAAAAGTAGGGAATTAAAATAATTTTTTCTTATGTAGTCGTTTGTTAAAAATAAAAGTGTAACTTAAAAATAAAAACGGTTGCATTTGGTAAGTGTATAAAAATGGATTGAGTACGATTGCAACATGCATGTGATGACATCACAACATTAATTCTTACTTCTTAGGCCTTACTAACCTAGCTATAAGCTTATAATGGCTAATAGGCCCAATACCATCCAAAAGAAGTCTCACATTTTCACAATTATACACTGAAAAAGGATCAAAGCTAAAAACAAAAATCAGATATTATTTACTCATATGTAGAATGGAAATGGACCGGGTTTGGTATCTCGGGCATGTTGTGGATTAAAAAAATTCTTTGGGCCTAAGAAGAGTCTCTATGTTTGGTGCAATTGCTCATTAGATATCATTTTAAGGAATTTGAATTTTCAACTTTCCTCTATTTGTTTGTAAACCGAAGTAATACTCCTTGTCTTGCTAAACTTCCCAAAGGATGAAGATTATTTTCTTTTATAAAGGAATACCGCATTTTCTTCCCTATCCTTCACCCCCTCAGCCTTTTCATCATTCCATAGCTTTCCCTTCATATCCTATTTTCCTTTTCTTTCTTCTACACTAAGAAAACAAGGAAAAGAAAATGAATTTTGAAACTTGAATTCTAGTTTTCCATTGTAAATAAAATCCAGTTTAGAATATATTTCTTTGAACAAAACACAAGATGGCCCATGAACACATATGGGACATCCATACTAAAGAATAGATTCATATGAAAAACTATCTTTCAAAGTGAATAAATGAGTATTATGCTAAGACTTATAGGATATATAGCTGCCACAACATCGCAGTTAAAAACTTAGAAGCTATGAACACATCTGGAAACTGGAACAACACATAGAGAGTTCTAAGCAGCATGAAGCAGGTTGGTGGAAACTGTATAGCAATTGGATGTTGCGCAAACAGATCTCCCACCTCAATATTCTGTTTTGGCTCCGTTATTACAGCCATGAAGTGCTGGTATTTAAGTCAATGTCAGCACGCAAGCTTCCATTCCTCTTCAAAACATCATGTACCACTTCAATATCAGGGGAACGTCCTCAATATAGTTGATATCCTGAAACATAAGATTACTCATTGTAAGGGAGTGATTAGCTACCTAATATGAATCTAAGTGCTATGCTTCAAAACGTGATTAGTCATTGATGAAATGGCCCAAACTCACCACTAAGATATGGACTGTCATCATTTGTAGATTCAGATATAAATACACTAGCCTAACATTGATTAGATGTTGGCCGTGTGGCTGTGGACAATTCACCAACATTCTTCTTGCCTTATACTCCATGCATAGCACCTACGTTTACAATTTACATGACTGTTAGAAAAGAAAATCAGCAAATCATCTCTGACAAAAGTAATAAAGTATTATCAAGTGTATTCCACCCAAATTCCATGCCGGCATGCCCTATGTTAATCAGACATTCGGACATGGCTAAAATAGCGGACACGAGATCCGTGTCCAACCCTTCACTATGCACTTGGATACTACCATTAAGAGTGGAGAGGAAAAAAGAGGAGAAGCATGAAAGAAAAACACATATTTTTCGAAGACCACCACTGAAATAAAGAAGATGAAGAGAAGAAGAAAGCCAATTATTGGAAAATTTTACGAAGGAAAGAATTAAAGTAAAAAAAAAAAAAAAAAAATAGGGGTGGACGTAATGAATATTTCAAAGCTTTTGTAATATATAATTTATTTATATAAACTTAAGGGACGTACTAGACATAGCCTCCGTGTCGTAAAATTTTGAAATTTGCCGGTTCCCGAGTCCATGTAACATAGGTCATGCCCACATATTATATGAAAGGAAGCCAATCATTTAGTAGACTTTCCACAAGTTGTATCGCATATTATATACTAGATCCGTACATTGCTCTAATAAAATTCATGTCTGATGATCGATCAATAAACTTGAGTGGAAATAGAGATTTATATGACAGCCCACTTACACAAAAATTAAAATAAACACCTAAATACAGCACTAATGTGAAGCAAAGTGTAGGCAAATGAATTGACATTCCTAATGGACAATCAGTACAAAACAAGCTAGAAAAAATATAGGGGGAAAGCAATTAGAGCCATATCAACATTTTTTTCCTGGAATTAAAAGATAAGGAAACAAGAAAGACTTAGGTAGTATTCAGGGATTGTTTATTCTACGCAATTACTCCATATTGTAATATTGTACATACCAAGTACTCAGGGAAACAAGGCATACTACGTATACATATTAATTTTAGAATCGAGAATAAAACTTATCTACAAAACACAGGTTTTTTTTTTTTGGCCGTTGCCTCGTTGGATTCCATTTAAAATCAATAATTTCAGTAGCTGAATCTGATTCGCTGTATTCTCCTGATTATAGGTTGGCCTTGCAGCTAATATTCTACATTGATAATTCTACCTGGACAAACATTAGCAAAATGTTCTTTAGCTGTTTCAATATTTCTTGACCATAGTAGTATTCCAGGAAGATGACATGAAGAGTTGCTGGGGTGGACTACATCAGAACCCAAAAGAATGCTCCCTTAACACCAGCAATCACTTGAACAGGGTCATATCACTTAAAGAATCAACCTTGTAAACTCAATATACCTTGATGTCTACTGGGCTTCCAGTTCCTCATGCATTTGAAATTCAAAAAATGAGGTAAATTTAAGTAAAAAGGATCAAGCAAGAGTCTGGCTGGACCAAAAACTGAGGTTGCGGAGAGAAAAGACTGGCAGTATCACAGATAACAGGATACAGATCTAAGTAGCAAATGAAATGCATGACAAACTTAAGAATCAACAGTCAACTAACCTCAACCTTCATGTGAATTAACCTAGAATAATAATATGGTTATTCTGATCCAGGCAGCTAAAATGCCCCTGAGATGTCTCAATACCGACATATGGACGCTGCATGTAGGGAAAAGAAAACAGAGAACATCAGAATTGGCACTGATTATGCTGCTCCCAGTATGACAATCTATAATCGAATATACCATATTGCAATGGAGGACAAAAAAAAAAAAAAAAGCAAATCTCGATTATATTTTAAATTGATGAAAGTCCATAAGAGCATAAGTGGATAATAGACCATCAAATAATAATATCAAGTAACATAAAAACAATAAATAGCACTGACAGCTTCAAGTCTGCAACCATATTATATAATCAGAAATGGTTTTCACAAACAAAATAGACAGAAGCCTATCTTGAGCATTACTAATGCAAAAAGAGCTGATTAATGGTGAAGATGATAGAAGGGATATGTACTTGCCAGTGGATGGTATAAGGGACCGGTCTTGGCCATCTGGCCATTCACACCTTTTCTCAAGTTCTGGACACTTCCAAATGTTAAGTTCTTGTAATGCAGTGAGTTCACGAAAAGATTCTGGGAGTGCCACCAAATTATGGCAATTCCTTATTGACAGCCGCCGAAGCTGGGTTAAGTTGCCAAACCATTCTGGTAGGCCCCTTAATTCAGAGAGCTCATCAATATAAATTTCTTGAAGACTTGTGACATAACATAGGCTCCTAGGAAGCGATTTTAGTTTCGAAATTGAATACAAACTCAAGGAGCTAAGGCTCTTCAGGCTTTGCAAAGCAACCGGCCTGCCACTACAAGCCTCATTTTCACCATCATCATCATTCTTGACATCCCACAAATCTTCACAGTGCCAGAGCTTCAAATCCTCAAGGGAAGAGAGATGCTGCAATGCACCAATAATGTCTCTCAGTCTCCCACATTCACTGATTATAAGTTGCCTGAGAGATGATGGGGATTCAGCAATTAAATTGGTCAATTCATGGCATCCCTTAATTGAAAATGACTCCAGTGAACAAATATTAATAGTGAATGAATCCAGTTCATGAACAGATTCAATGTCCAGCTTCTTTAATGTGAAAGGAGTTGCCAAACAAGGTTCTGACAATGTTCTTAACGGATCCTTTCCATACAAGAGATGCTTTAACAGAGTTCCATGGATGTCATATGCCTCCAAAGACTCAAGTCTTGGCACCAGAGGCATTGACCTCAGCTTTGGGCAACTGTATATTCTAAGCCACGAAAGATGGGGAAAAACTCGAAAGTATTGCTGATTCCGGTCATGTCTCTGTTGATGTACATCACCCTTCACTTCTATTCTTGACCATCCCTTAAGTTTGCAGAGATGCTGCAGCTCCAGACGTTCTAATGATGGGAAGTATGCTGCAGCAGAAGAGATATCATTGCCACCAAAATCTACATATTCTAATACTTCAAGAAAACCAAGTTCAAGAAACCTGAGATGAGGGAGTTGACTCATGGGAGGGAGACATTTGCATCGGTGGCAAAATTGAATGCACAAAGAAACAAGGTTAGGGAGTAAGCAAAGGGACTCATCAATCCCCCACCTTGGAAATCTCACTCCTGTCCAATCCATCACATGTAGCCTTTTAAGAGTTGGAGGAGGTTGCATGTATTCTAGCACCAAAGTCTCTTCATCCTCATCAGCACGAGTTGGATCTCCATACACGGATGACCATCTTAATACTAGGTCAACAATTTTCTTATCCTTTAAATTGCCCACCATTGCCTCAGATACAGCTTCTCTCCGATATTTTACTTGATAGATCACCAATCTTCCGCAAAGATTGTTTAAGCAAGCCAGAGCATCTAGACCGTTACTTTTGCCCACTACAAATTTATCTAATGTGCAGAGAGAAGTTAACATCCCAAATCTAGATGGCATATCATTCAATCCAATTTTATAATTATACAAGTTCCTTAGATTGGTTAATTTGTTAAAGCCATTTGGAAATTCCCTAAGAAACTTACATGCCCGAATATCCAAAGTCTGCAAATTCTGTAGCATTGTGATGGCCTCAGAAAGAGATAATATGGAACAACCAAGTCTAAGATACCTTAGGTGCACCAGCTTCCCGACGGAGCTGGGAAGACACTCACAATCAGCCTTAAACAAATCCAACGCACGTAAACACCTCAAGCTGGAAAAAAATTCATTGATATTTAGCAATGTAGTATGTGATAAGAGAAGAACAGATCGCATTTCCTTGGTAGCAAGCAAAGAAGATGGAACTTTCCAAGAGGAACCCACAATAAAGCTTGCATGCCTTGTGTTCTCATCTATCTGTAGCTTTGATCCATTTAGGACAGCAGTAAACTCTCCAGCCACATATTGTGCCAAGTCATGCATCAAATCATGCATTTTACAGCTGATAATATCACCATCCTCACCTCTAACATCCTCTAGTAAAAAAGATCTTCTCAAAAGTTCCATAAAATATACATCGCCAACATCCATAGCACTTTCACTACCGTGTGATGACATAATGAATCCTTGGGCCATCCAAAGATCAATCAGATGTTGCTTTCTCAAAACATAATCCTTGGGAAAGACAGAGCAGTATGCAAAGCATTGCTTTAATTGTGAGGGCAAGTGATCATAGCTTAGCTTCAAAGTTGACATAATACTATCTTCATTCTGAGTTATCATCCTCAGCTCCTTATCCTTGAAAATCTTCCATTCTATCTCAGCATCTTTAGAATAAAGAAGGCCAGCTATAGTCCGTATGACAAGTGGAACATCAGCACATCTTTTAACTATCTCTCTGCCTATGCTTGTCAAGTTTGGATTTCTAGGCTCTTGTCCTTGTTTGAATGCTAGGTTTCTAAACAACTCCCAAGACTTCCCCTCAGACAGGCCTTTCAATTCATAGGGTACAACAGTGCCCATATTAAGAGCCACTACCCTAGACCTACAGGTTACAATTATTCTGCTTCCTTGTTTACCACCACATAGAAGGCGCTTCAGAGAAAGCCACCTCTCACGATCCTCGTCCCATACATCATCTAATACAAGCAAGTATTTCTTATCATCGACAGCATTCTGAAGGCGGATCTGAAGTTCTTCCATACTCAAATGTTGACAATCACTACCAGTGACCGAGCTAAGAATTTTTCGTGCGAACTCTTCCATACTAACAACATCAGACACACATGCCCAACCCCTCAGCTCAAATTGTTTTTGAACATTTTTGTCATTATAAACAAGCTGAGCAAGAGTTGTTTTCCCTAAACCACCAATCCCAACAATTGGGATCACAGAATATCTTCCCTCAACATCATCAATGTTTAAAACCATATCTATAAGTGCTTTTCTATCTTCATCTCTACCAACTACCTCTTCCTCCATGATGAAAGAACAGGTACGTTCCTTTTTAGACAAACTAACTGAAGGTTGTTCCTCAACAGAACACACCCCGAGATTAAGGCTTTGCATTTCTGAAGTTATGATTTTAAACTCCTTCATAACAGCCTTAACCTCATAAGCAACTTTGCTATTCCTGAAATGGCTAAAAGGGCTTAACTTAGAAAACAAAACGTGCAGCGGTTTAGTCAGCTTCCCTGCAGCAATCAGCTGGGTCTCTTTATCAGCTATTGCAACCTCTTCAAACAAATCCTCCATTTGGTAGAGAACATTTTTCAGTCTTTTCAGCCACAACTTTACAAGAGCTCCACTCTCTCCTTCCCCTCGCCTCTCCGCATCAAGAACCCGAGCTTGGATCATCATCATTGTTTTCTGAAGCTCTTCGACCTTATTTCTCCCACCAAAGTACAGGGCGATCTTTTCATGAGCTGATTTGCCTAAAACCTCCAGAAGCTTTAGAACAACATCTGACACTATGACTTCAGCCATTTCTTTCTCCCCTTATATTTTCTCTAGCCTTTTTTTCCCTTCAACTTTGCTATCTTCGAAACCTCACTACAGCTCAAGCAGAATATTGTCTTTTTAATCTTATTTTTTTTACTTCCACAAAGTATCACTTGGATCAGGATACATACTTCGGTGAAGGGATTGATGTAGCTTCAATCCTATATGGTAAGATAGTTTGTATGTTAACTTAATTGTGGAAAAGTCTTTGATCTTGACAACTGGCTGAAATAATAGTCCTACTGGACTAATATGAGGAATATTATACTAGTATATATAATGTGAAACTTTGACAATTCTTTCAGATGTATGACAATATTTCTAAATTTTAACAGTATGTCAATATCTAGCACATCAAAGAAAGTATCATAACAAAAAGTAATAATGTCAAGAGGTCAAATCACAAAACTAAGAAATAAATCTAATTTCTCAACAGCCAATATTCATCATATATCAAATTTATAATTTTAAGGTGTACATAATACAACAATATCCCTACTTAAAGAGCTTACTTCACTTTGATGCCCAGTGACTGAACGACGTCTGCCCTTCAATTCTTTTTTACTTGTACTAAAAACTTTTTCTGTAAGGAAGAATTAAAATATCAGATATTTCGTAATCAATATAACAAATGATTTTGCTGTGTATTAAAGTCACTATGCGAGTGTTACTTTTCTTGTTCATACTCTCAAGGCAACTTAAACTGACCTAAAATCAACTACTAACACTTTTGAAAAATCTCGACACGAGGACGACTTTGTCCACTTTTTATAATTGCGTACAATCATGACTAATATACTATATAAGTGATATGTGACAAGGATTAATCAGTCTAAATTCATTATATAATAGACAATTAATAGTACAGTTTACATTGAACAAAAAAACCTTGAAAAAGATTTTATGCCTAAACTAACCCGCACTTTTGGTGAAATAATATAAACCTATGCATCACTTATCTGTTCATATCATTCATATATACTTTTTTTTTCCCCAACAATCATTCATATATACTTGGTATATAGTACTAATTTAGAAATCTCCATGCACTTATAAATATGTATTAAAGGTGAAATCATAGATTAAAGTATTATTCCAAATCTTTCTTATAAACATATAATCCGTATGACACTTTCCATCCATTTTTTTTACAAATCTTCTTATAAGATATATAATCCACTATTACATATTTCTTCCTCTATTACCATTCTCCCTTTATATACTTGTATATATTAATTAAAAAATATTCCAAATCTTTTTTTTTTCTTTTTATATTAAGAAAAACTAAATTACATGTAATAATGCAATTATTCTCATCAAAATACCAGTAATGTGAAACACCTTGTCAAAAAAAAACATTAACACTTACTTTAAAAAGAAATTTAATTAATATAACGAAAATTCGTTAAAGAAGTGGGTAAAATATAGAAAAGTAAAGAAGACTAAACTAGATTAGTACTAGACCAAAGCATATTTTTTATTCAAATAAAACGATTGATTCATATTTTTTGAAAAAGTTCGAGTCACGCAACATGTTTTAACTTGTGAAAAATAAATAATTAAAATTAAGAAAAAAAAAAGTAAGAAAAAAAATAAAGAATATATATATATATATATATATATATATAATTCAATTGCTGAAAAATTATTGATTGCATATTTTAACTTATGTTAACAGCTATATATGGAGTATTAGAGGTGTCAATTCAGGTAATAAATAAAGACACAAAAGTAAAACAAAAAATATATAATTCAATTGCTGAAAAAATTACTAATTGCATAATTTAACTTATGTTTGCAGTTACAGAGTATTAGCAGTGTTAATTCAGTAGCCGGATGGAGTTTGAGTTAACCCACAATGTGACGGAATTATTTGGGTCGGGTATGCTTGGGTCTTATCCTTTTAATCGGTCTCAGTTCGAATTGAATTGGGCTCGGGTCTCAAGTCGGCTCTGCATATAATATAAGCTCACGAAACATAAATTCTAATTAGTTATGATAAGGGTTAATAAGGGTCACTTAACTTAATTTTACAACTAAAAGTAAAAATCAAGAGAATCACCCTAAATTTCTTTAATATGTAATTATGTATATCTTTAAATTAAATATTTTTATATTATCAATATATTAAGATTTGGGTTATGCTCAATTCATAGATTGGACCTAACTTATAGTTGGGATATGTTTGATTGACTAGATTTGACAAAACTTAGGTAATGTTCAATTCACCACATTTTTTTTATTTGATTAGCTAAATTATTATTTGATCTGATTTGCAGATTTATTCAATGAGATGTCATTTGATTTGCACTTTGCAATTTATAATTTTTTAAGACAAATTTTTGTATGTGGCTGGGCACACCGTGTGGCAGGAGTTATCCAAGTTACTCAGTCAGGGGTTACTTGAGGGGTTCGGTCAGGGGTTACTTGAGGGATTCGGACAAGGATTAATCGAAGGGTTAATTACTCGATCAAGGGTTACTTGAAGGTTTACTCGGTCAAGGGTTACTCGAGTTACTCGGTTAGGGGTTACTTGAGGGATTCGGTCAAAGGTTACTCGAGGGGTTACTCGGTCAGGGGTCACTTAAGGGGTTACTCGATCAGGAGTAACTCGAGTAACCCCAACCACCACACGGTGTGGTCAGTCACGCACACAGAAAAATCCCCATTTTTTAAACTTCGAAAATATAATTGTCCAACGATAAATAAAAGCGAATAAACAAATATAATATGATTTGCTAGACGGTTTAATCTGATTATTTCTAAAATAAGTTGAATTGAACATAACCTTGATAATTAGAGTAATATTTAATAAATGAACTTATTATACCGTGCAATTGCACGGGTACTATACTAGTTAATTTTACTAAACTGAAATTAATTTTAAGGTGAACTTAACAGGGCCTAAGTCTAATACTCAATACTTCTGTAATAATCGCAATATTTTTTTTCTTATCTATTTTATAATAATAAACACTTCCTTATTTGATAAAGACTCACTTATCTTTTATCATTTCTCTTTCTGACAACCAACTTATACTTACTAGATTAGTGCCCGTGCGATGCACGGTAGTTATAATTTTTTTTGCCATAATTAAATTGTGATATAATATAAAAATGAAGCAACTCATGTAGAATGAATAAATGCAATGCATATAAGAAAGATGAAATAATAAGGTATAGTAAAAATTATTAAAACTACATTGAGAAGAAAAAAAATGGTTATGTTTGATTAGTTGTGTTGAAAATATTTTAAAATAGTATACATTATATTACATTTATATGATGCATGTTATTCCCAATAAAACTATACAACGTAGATGTCGTATGTATGCCTTTTTATTAATGAATTAATTTTAGTTAAAATAAAAACAAAACCAAAAAAAAAAAAACTATACAATGTACTTCCAAAAAATAAGCTAAGTAAAATAATTTTAAGATTAAAAAATCTTAAAACTAACATCATATGGTGGGATATTTTTTTTAATGATAGCAACATATGTCCAAAATGATCGATGTATACATAACCTGTTTTAGTAATAATTAATAGATTTTTGAAGGGAAAAAAGTTGGTAAAATTATTACAAAATTATTTTACAGAAAGCTAACTCAATTATTATTATGTCATGAGGTTTCAAATCAACACCATGAATAGAAATGTTTCCCTTGAACCCCACTATTGTACAACTATATAATGGTAATTTAACTATTAATATTGTATATTTGGCATAATCTCCACCATACATTAACCTTCTAAATTATAGTTTATTCTCCCTTAATCAAAAGGTCTCAAAATCTTATGTAACTATTTTAAGTAAATAGAACACGGAATAAAATGAATACAATTGTTATAAAGATAATATATAACATTAGGAATAATATACTATTATAGTTGTATTATTCGCTTTTATTTATCGTTATAAAGATAATACATAACATATAATATGACACGTATCATTCCTGGTGTATGTTTTAATATTATGTTATTGATATTATAAATTTTACTTTTTGAACCCTATTCTATGATTTTCCTACAACTTTGTGCCCACCCTACTATTGCAATTATTACAAAACAGATAAAGTAGTCGATAATAGCAAAGCAAAACGAGAAAACTCAAGGTTAAAGTATGATGCACAAAAAAAAATACTCTTGTAAATCAGCGGTAGTATAGTCATTTTAGGTGATAGATAAAGGTAGCTTTGTCATTTCACTTGATAAATGAAGGATAGTTTAGTCGTTTTATCCACTGTGTTTTTTTAAAGATGGTTGATTTACAACTATGGTAAATAAGCCTCTTGATTAACTAGATATTCCTCTAATTTAAATTATATTTAAATAGGAATATTTTGAAGAATAGATCTCTCAAGTATCACCACATATAAATGTCCCACATTGGTTGAAAAAGACAGAGTTAATCACTTTATAAGACTAAGGGGCTACTCCACCTATTGCCATATGATTTTGGGATGTAACCTCCTTTGGTCTTATGAAGAGAACTCTCTTTCTCTTGGTTGTGAGTGCAGCCCAGACCCTATTTAACAGAATAGTAACATTGAATTTTACACTTCCAAGTATCCCAATTTATTTTTAAACTTGAAAAACTCTTGATCCGTGCATTATACATAAGCTTTAATTAGATCAACTTTGATAATTTATGGTTAATGAAATATACATTCGTGTCAAATTTTGTTACATGTGCTTTAATTTATATCATGAAGCGAGTAGGTTGTAAATAAAGAAACATGTAGAAAATATCAAAATATACATTTTTTTGCCCACTTTTTCTTATTGTTTTGACCATTCACATTAATACACATCGGTTATTATCGGTTATTAATATGACGAATCAAACAAAGCCCTATAAGCTATGACTATAACTTCTATAACATCTTTCATTTTGAAAATAATTTAGAATGGCTATAATATTCCATACAAGAATATCAAAAGGAATTTAATAGAGTAATTATCATAAGTGTATGTATATTTTATAAAAAAACCCATGACCATCCACCAAATATGCGAGGAGAGAATAACAATATACATTTTTCTTATCTCAGTTTGATGATACAAGGGTAGTATGTAAAGAAGGGATACATAATGGGAATACAAATGCAAATCATACCTTTATTAAAAGGTACTAGGAAGAGAGGGGGAGATAAGCATATTCTCACAACTATGAACCATTTATCCTAGAGTAGATATTATTCTCAATTCATATCAAATAAGAAAATATCATTATCTTATGCATATTGATTAACTAGTTCCCTATCCTGGAAAACAAAAAACCCTATCCTTATCACACCCTATAATCTCCTTATGTGTCTTTTTCTGAATTATTATGTTTATGATATCTAGTACGGAGTATCATGTGATTTTTATTACTCGTGTTTTTTTTTTATTTGTTTCATTTGGAATCTTGTACGTATATTATGGTGCAAATGAAATCTTATGATATAATTATTTCCTATATTTTAAAACACAGTCATGTGATATCTTGTTAAATTCGTCTCAATTTTATTTTTTCAAGTATTTTTTTAATTATGTTTCTTACTTAAATTTTAACATTTAGAGCATGTTTGGTAAAAGTGTTTTTTTTTTTTTTTTTTTTTTTTTTGGAAATGAATTTAATTTAACTATTACCGACACAAAGTGTTTAGTTAAAAGGTTTGGGTAAAAAGGATATAATGGTTTCCATTTAATATAACAATTACCCTTACTGTCCTCAAACAAAAAGAAAGGGAGTTCAAATAAGGGCCTCTTCTGGTTTATTGAAAACAACTGAACTGAACTGAACTTATTGGGGCTGAATTGAACTGAACTGAGTAGAGCTGAAATGAATTGTATATGGGCCTGTTGTGATTTACTAAACTGAGCTGAACTGAATATATTTTATGAGAAAAGGAAATTAGGAACTAAACTGAACTGAAATTTAGCTAATGAGAATCACTACAAGAAAAAGGCCAGATTCCGACGGACACAAAATTCCGTCGGAAATCCTCTATATTCCGGCGGATTTATATTCCGTCGGAAATTTCCTACGGAATAAAAATCCATCTGAATTTATGGGCTTTCCGATGGAATCTTCCGTCGGAAAATTTATATTCCGACGGAAATAAAATCCGTAGGAAATTTCCGACGGAATATTCCTTCGAAACGTTGAATTTCCGACAGAATTAAAATCCGTCGGAATCTTATTTAAAAAAAAACAAATTCTTTTACAAACTAAACCCTAAAACAGCCCACCTCCCATTTCCGCCACTTCCCGGCCCCTTTCTCCTTCTCTTTTCTCCCCCTTCTCTTTCCTCCGCCCTCTCTTTCTCTCTCTTCTCCTTCTCCTTCCTCCATTTCTCTTCTCCTTCTCAGTTCGATCTCCTCTCTCCTCCGCCCTCTCTTTCTCTCTCTTCTCCTTCTCCTCCCTTCTCCTTCTCATTTCTCGTCTCTTCTCCTTCTCATTTATCCTCTCTTCTCCCTGCGTAACCAATTACCACCACCTTTGCCACTGCGTAACCAACACCACCGCCACCACGGGGTTTGTTTTGTTTATTTTCATGGTTTTTTAGGCCAAATTCGACCATTAAAAGCCTAGATCTAGACTTTTTATGGCCGAATTTGGCCTTGTTAAACCGTTTTCGTGGTGAAATTCAAGCCCATTTCAATTTAAGGTATGTTTTATTATTTAATTTTTCGATTTTCTGATTCTTTTTCTTTGTTTTTTTTTAATTTTTTGGGTGTAAAGTTGTCGTGTGTGCGTGTGTGATGTGTGGGCTGGTGGTGGGTGGCGATTTTTGAAGGTGGTGGGTGGTTTTGTGGGTTTGATGGCGGGGGTTTGGGTGGACGTCTGTTATAGATCTTGGTGGTTTCGGGTTTTTTGTGTAGTTTCGGGTGGTTTCGGGTTTTTTTTGGAAGGTTTCGGGTTTGGGTGGTGGTTGTAGGGTGGTGTGGGTTGGTGGTACAGGTTAGGGGGACTGGTGGGTTAAGGTGGGTGGTGTGGGCTGGTGCAGTGGTGGGGGCTGGTGCGGAGTGGTGGCGGTTAAGGGGTAGGTGAGGCCGTGGGCTGGTGGTGTGGGGTGGGGAGTGGTGGCGGTTAAGGGGTAGGGAGCAGGGGATGGGTAGAGGGCAGGGGATGTAGGCCGGTGGCGCTGGGTGTGGGTGTGGGTGGGGGTGGTCTGGGCAAGTGGGGTGGGGGGCTGTTTTTTTTTTTATTGACTTTTCCGACGGAAATTTCCGTCGGAATATGACTCTTCCGACGGAATTTTCTGTCGGAAACGTATCCAACTCCGACGGAAATTTCCGTCGGAAAATTGCGACGGACTTTCAATTAAAGTCAAAAACAGCGCCGACAGAATTAAATCCGTCGAAAATTCCGTCGGAATAACGCCTTCCGACGGAATTTCCGTCGGAAAAGGTTGAATTTCCTACAAAGGGTGTTGCGACAAACTAATTCCGACGGAATTCCGACGGATTTTCCTATGTTTTCGACGGAATTTTTCCGTCGGAATCCAGCTGTTTTCTTGTAGTGAATAGGCCCTATAAGAGAAGGAAATTAGGAACTAAACTGAATTGAACTAAATTGATTGGAGATGAACTGAACTGAACTGAACTAAAATTAAGCTGAACAGAACATGCCCTAATTTCCTTCAGCTTAATTTCAGTTCAGCTTAATTTCTGAACTGAACTGAACTGAAATTAAGGGCCTGTTCTGTTCAGCTTAATTTCAGTTCAGTTCAGTTAAGCTCCAATCAGTTCAATTTAATTCCTAATTTCCTTCTATCATAAACAATTCATTTCATCTCTATTCAGTTCAGTTCAGTAAATCGGAAGAAGCTCTAAGTGATTCATTTTTATGGTAAAACCAAACAAATGAAAATCTAATTTAAGAGTTAAATAAATTCATTTATAGTTTCTCTCTTATTTGTTTCGTTTTCAATCCATTTTGAATATTCATACCAAATGTTCCGTTAAAATAAAACAAAAGAAATATATCAAAATGAACATGAATGAGTCGTATAAAGTACTCTGTCTTGCATTTTTGTAAGGAATTATTGCTTGCATATAATAACTCATTTCACAAGCAATTTTTAGTAATGTAATTTTGTTTCATATTGGTATAACATAACAGCAACCCACTACCACATATTTTCATAATATCTTCATCATTTCTTTCTCCAAATCCATATCACCTTCTTTAATTATGTAGACAAAATTTTATTTCTAGTTTTGTGTAACATCTTAATATTTTAGCTAAGTAAAATGAGGTTTATGGGTTGCTAACCCAGGCCATATTGATAGTTTAAATAATAAGTACAAATATTATACAAGTAATTTAAGTAACATATAGAACAATATAAAAATGAAGAGTAGGTCAAGCTAAAAGTATACGTGAAGTAATAAATTACTTTTTTCGATAATTTATAATTATTGCAAATGTTTGACTGAAACCGTGAAATCAAATTTTATTAATCAAACTGTTATAATTACTCCCTTCGTCCCTTAATTATATGTCTATTTCTTTTATTTATTACTCACATAATAGAGAGAAATAGGCATATAATTAAGGAATAGAGGGAGTAACAATTATAAGTAGAAGGAAAAACCATTTTAATTGTAAAAGTTAGAAATGCAAAATTTTAAAAAATATCTCTACCTAACGACTATTACAATCTTAATAAAACAAAAGAAGTAGTACGATTTAGTATGACGAGTAACTTCACAAAGCCACCTCAATATAGACTTTCAATTCCTCAACAGCCATGCGTTAATGAGGACCATAGCATAACAAATTCCAACCGCAAGTCCAAAATGAAGCAGTACCATTAAGATTTTATTTGAGTACAAACCAAAAACACTTAAGACTCTTGGCCACTCAAAATCAATGTAAAGAATGAAAAATACAACACAAAAAATACTTCCCTCCTAATTCCCATGTCATTTCAGGCCCTACTTTGTCTGACTAAACTATTTGTCTTTCTTATTGGTCCTTTCTATTTTCCAACTTTTTCTTAATTTAGGACTTTCTCAACCATTCACACTTATTAGTACGAGTAATACAACACTCTATATATAATGTAGTTCCTCCTTTAATTTATTTTTTAAAAAAGTTTCATACTATTTACAACATTCTTTTATTTATACGTTTCTTTTCAATCTCTTATTTGATCACTTTTTAAATTTTGTAAATAGAAGTGAATTGAATTTCGTTCACATTGCGATTATTACAAAACAAAGATCTATACGGCTTTTGTTCACCCGATCCACGCGATGGGGCAAATAACGGTAGAGAGAGTAATGCAGCTATGGAATACATGGGACGACCGATTCTTCATGCTTACTAGTCTCTTAATTCAAGCATTGCTTACAATCCTAGCACCGTATCGAAAGCGGTGTGCGAGCCGCATACTAAAATTCTGCCTATGGCTGCTCTATTTATCAGCCGACGCGGTTGCATTATTCACCATTGGATTGATCACAAGCAGCCAAGGCGAAGACTCGCCGCAAAGGCAAGATCTTCTAGCATTTTGGGCACCATTTCTTTTGCTACATCTTGGTGGTCCGGACACTATTACTGCTCTTGCTTTGGAAGATAACGAGCTATGGCACCGGCACGCGCTGCAGCTCGCAATCCAGCTTGTTGTCACGCTCTATGTGTTTGTACAATCGTTAAGAGGCGATAACCGGTTGTGGATGCCGACGGTCCTTATGTATGTGGATGGTTGTATCAAGTATACTGAGAGAACTGAGGCTTTGTACTTTGCTAGCATGAATAGTTTTAGAGAATCTCTTGCTAGTAAGCCTGAGTCTGGACCCGACTACGCTAGGTTCAAGGAGGAGGAGCATTGTTGCAACGGTAGTGCCCATGTCTCGATTAATATTCAAGGTACGTATACGTAGATTGTATATATACACACATTTAAGGTGTTAGTTTGTTATATGATATTATTTCTTGTGGTTCAACAAATTTAATTATATTGTTAGTTTTGTTTTTGTTGTGGTTAATTAACATGAAAGATGTCAAATATTTTCAATTTGATGTGTTTATGGATATTATTCGGTTATTATGATTATGTTTGGTAAAAACAACAGTTATTATTTGTGAAAATGGCCTTTTTTTTTTTTTTCCTTTTCTTTTGGGTAAAGTTGGCTAACAGGTTGCTTGGATTGTCAAGTACTTGGTAGTTGACAAGTCTAATTGCCAAAGATATTTTCTTGGTTGTCGGACCATATGGTCCATATGATGATATGCGTGATCTAAGAAAAACAAATCTAATGAAATTACTAGCCATTATTTTTTGTTTCTCTTTTAATTGAAACATGTTGGCTTTCATGTTGGCTTTCAAGACTTACTATTTGTTTCGGTTGAAAACAATGGGACCTTGCCGAAGGTCCACTAAAATGGAGAAGACTGGATTCGATCCAAGCTGTGTTGGGCCGAAGGTTTCCTGCACAGTGAACACACGTAAACTAGCCTCGGGGTGTTTCCGAGGAAGGCCCCTCCGATGCTAAAGTCAGTACAATGTGTAAAAAGGAAGACACTATGCAAGAGAGTTTGTAGCTTGAGGCTTTTGTGGAGTATTTCTCAATGCAAGAATGAGCATATGAGTTGCAATAATCCGTGTATCAGATAATGCATGTGTTGTTGTTGTGTCTGATCTCGTATGTGATGTTATGAGATGTCCCCTTGAATGTGTTAATATGAGGGCTTTTATACCTCATCATATTTGGAGAGGTTGGGCTTTAGCCCAATTGGCTTACTTTGTGGGCTGACTTTTGACTTTTGAGCAATTGGAGAGTTGAACCTTGACCTTGGGCTTTTAATTGGATCATTTAGTGCTCCGGCCCAATTTTGACTAAATTGGACCCAAACAACTTGCCCCCCAGACCCGATTTGGAAGAATGACGGGTCGGGTTTGATCTAACTCAGAAAAGGAGGGAAGTAAATGATTAATTGATCCAAAATTTGAATTTAAACCGTAATTAATGAGATAACAACGGTTAATGATTTGCGGAAGTTGGACGGATAATGGCAGTTTAATCACAAGACATGTGTTTAATGGTTACTTAGTGGGTACTTAAGAGAAATTAAAGCACAGACTCTTCGTATCCCGTACCTGGAGATATAAACAGAGGCGCGTCATTCTCCTCACTTATTCACCAACACAAACCCAGAATTCTTCGAGAGAGAAACCGAGAATCCGTGTCAAAACTTCGCAAATTCCCCCGAGCATTGAGCTTAGAAACTGAGACTTGCCACTACGAACTCGTAAATCGGCAAATTTCGCTTCAGATTAAGGTAAATTCCTTTGATTTCAGTTTATTTTTTCTTCGAATTCGAACTCCTTCCCTTTTTCTTTCGACTTTTCTCTTCGAAATAGTCCATGGCAAGAGGAGTTAGAGGTAGAGCCCGTGCTCCAAGAAGAGCAAGGCCGATTCCCGATCCTAGGAATAGGATTGGGACCTGGAATGGTCGAAGGCCGGAGTCTGACCCTGCTGATGGGATTAGGGCGACTCCCCTTTCCTCGGCTCCTCCTCAAAGAACGGATGAGCCGAGTGCTTCTGGACGGGACGATGAAATTCCCGCTGTCCTTTGGGATATCCTCCCTGGGTTTTCAGAGTGGGAGAATGCCGAAGTCGCTTCGGCCATGATAAAGAACCGCCCCTACTCATGGTGGGTAGAGAACGCCGATCAATATCGATTTGCTGAGCAAATTGAGTTGCACTACGGCATTTTTGAAGCTGATGGATATTGGTGCCGAATGCCCTCAGCATCCGATAGAATCCATCGTCCACCCCCGGGGTATGTGGGGGTGTACACGAGACAGCTTCAGTATGGGCTGAGGTTCCCTTTGGACGTTTTCGTCCGAGACTTGCTGATCCATTACAACATTTCCCTATGTCAGCTAACCCCCACCAGTATCCGAAGGGTGATGACATACTTATGGGTCTGCAAGTTCTTCAGATACGTGCCGAACCTGCACTGCTTCAGAAAGCTCCATCGGCTAGTGCCAAATATTCAGAGTGGGCACGGAAGCCATGGTTCTGGGTGGTATCGGATTGAGTCTCGGCCCCAATATTTGACCATGTGGCCAAATGACTCTTCAGACAAGGACTGGAGAGGTCAATGGATTTGGGTTAGGGCACCCATAGATCCGGGCCACCCTTGTGTCTTCAGCGCTCCCCGGTACTTAGCTGAGCCTGATCCCGAAATGGGAAGTCTAGGTCCCCCCGCAGATAACGGGGCGGATCCGAACCTGGATCAGCAACATATCTTCGGCAAGCTGCCGAACCCGGGGGGGAGTGGTCGAATGCAGCATATCCCGGAGACTTGGCTCCCCGATACGCATTACGTTTTCCAAGAGAATATGCTAGCAGCTGTTGGCCTCAGCCGAAAGTTTAAGGATGGTAAGCTTCTTCGGCTGGGGCCGAGGCTTTTTAACTACCTCTTTTTCTTCTCTCGCTTTGCTTTTTTATGCTGTGCCAACATATCTGAGCTAAACTTTTTCCCTTTCCTTTTTTCAGAGCGGGACGAGACCAACGTTGGTATTAACTACGCTCGTCTTGGTGTTAACCGAGAGCGAGTTGTAACTGAACGGGCCCCGTCTATCACTGAGCCGAGGCATAGGGAAGTTCATCTGGACTCTTCCCACTTCCAAATTGAGGCTGTTGCTCTGTATCAGAGGCAGAAGCCTTGGTGGAAGAAGAGAGACCCTTGGTTTCAGCTGCTGAACGAGGAAGCTGAAGCTGCCCGCACAGCCGAAGAGGTTGCACGAGTACTTGAGGCTTGTGAAGGAGGAGAAGGGTCCTCCAGAGCTGCTGAAGCCGAAGCTGCAGCTAGAGCAGCTGAAGAAGACGAGGCTTTGCTGAAAACCTCGGTGAGCTTTCAGACAACTTTTTTCTTTTCTTCTTCTTTTTTTTTTTTTTTTTTTTTTTTTACTCACACTCTTCTTCCCCCCTGTCTGTTACAGTCTGAAGAGAGTAACAGACACAGAGAAGGCAAAGCTCCTGTTCGTCCCGAAGATCAAATACAAAGTCTTCAGACTCAGATATGGACGAGCAGCCCCTTCTGAAAAGGCGCCGAAGGATGGCCATCATCGGCCCTCATGACTTTCAGCAGAGGCCGATGACCATCGGCGTCGCAATAAGGAACCTGAGGAAGGCAATGGATCGCCGAGGGTTCCCCAGCCAACACCCCAATCTCCTCAAAAGACCCCTCCGCCACCTCCTGAGATGGAGGTGGATCAGAGACTCCCGAACCTAAGGGAGGGTCTAAGAAGAAATCAAGGAGAGTGCTGCTGAGCACGGAAATAAAGATGCCGTGATGTCAAGTGCTGAAGCTTCACGGCAGATATCGCAAGAGAGGTTGAGGCTTTCGTCCTCACCCCTGAAGAAGAGGAGGTCATAGTACTTGACTCCTCTGAGAAGGACGATGCTGAGACAACCAAAGCTAATCAAGCTCCATCGTCGTCCTTCCCTTCTTTCCAGACTCTGCATTCTGGAGAAATGGGTTTCTCGCCCCCGAATTCCAATCCCAGATCACATCTGGGACCTCATATGGGTCAAAACCGAAAGGAGCTGAAGCCTACTTCGGCAGTTTTGCTGGCATGTCCGAAGTAGACAGGGCAAGGATCTGTCGCTGAAGGCCACTGCTGGGATGGGCGAATCCAGTAGATCAGTTCCTGACCCAGCCAGGTCTAACCAACTGCTGATGATGCAGGTAATTTTCCTTCATTCCTCCGAAATTCAGCTCTATTTTTTTTTTTATTACTTATTTTTTTTGTCTTCCTGTTTTCAGTTCGTGCACAATCAGACTCTCACTGTAGAGCTGATTGATACCCTACAAGATAGGGTAGACGCTGCTGTGCACGAAAGGAAGGTGGCTGAAGAGGAAGTTAAGCTTGCTAAGCTGAAGCAAGCAGCAGCTGAAGAGAAGCAGCAGGAGGTTGAGGAGTACGGTAAAAAAGCTGCCGAAAGCTCTGAAAACCTTCTGCGATGCTATGGAGATGGAGGTTTTTCCCCCACTGATGGAAGGGGAAAAATTCCTCCAGGAGCATATGGGAGTGGACGTCTCCAAATTCAAGGCTGCTATTGAGAGCCGAATTTCAAGAAGGAACTGCTGCACAAGCTGAAGTGCAGCAGCGTCTAGAGGCTCTTGAAGCCAGCCGAATGGCTGCTGAAGAGTTGCTCTTGGCCAAAGACGTCCAACTCTCAGAGGCTGCTGCTTGCTGCTGAAGCTCAAAGAGCTAAATTCCAAGAGGCTGAGGATCAACTGCTGATCCAGAAAGTTGAAGTGGCCCAAGCTCAGACAAAGGCTTTCCAAATTCAGCAAGAGCTGAATGAGCTGAAGGGGTCCTCCTCCAAAGTCGCTGAACAGCTGAAGAAATCCAAGGAAGACTTGGAGGAGACCCAGAAGAAGCTGGCTGATGCTGAGGCTTTACTCAAAGTCCGTGTTTACACCCAAGAGGAATATGAGATGGGTTTCAGAAACGGATTCCGAGTAATGCCGAAGACTCTGCCTTCATGCTGAGCCGAAGCTGGACTGGTCTAAATGTGCTGAGTGGGTCCAGAATCCCGAAGACCCTCACATGAAGTATGCAACTCCAGCTGAAGCTGAAATTCTTAAGGCTGAGGAAGCCGAAGAGGAAGCTGAAAGACTGGAGTTGGAAGCTGAGCAGAGGGAAAGGGAGGCTCGGCAAAATGCAAAGCCCGCCTCTTCGGCTGCTGGGCTGAGGCCACCATGGGACTCAACGCTGATCAGTCTGATCCCCCGGCTGAAGCATAGGAACTCGGGCAGTCGTCTTCAGAATCTTGCGGTTCATCATGTGCTTAACTTTAGACTTGCCGCTTTCTGAGTTTTTTGCCTTGTTTTTTGCTTCAGCTTGC